TCAAATAAATCATGGTTGAAACGCAACGAAGTATCAGTGTTTAAAACAGAATTCATTCTGTCGCCGATGATGATGATGACGATGATGACGATGATGGTGAAGATGATAATGATGATGGTGGTGATGACGATGATGATAATGATGATGATGATGACGATGACGATGATAGTATGCCAAGACGAAGAAGTAAAATTCGTTGTGTTTTCTTGGGCGTGCTACATATTGGTTAAGTATGTATTGGACGTGTAATGCATGTCAAATACTAGTTAACATTCTTTTCGTAGACAAGATTAGTGGAAATAGGCACGAAGCGAGAATAAAAAACTACGCGATACCGTTTTGCTCAGTGAGATCCTACTTATGACAATAATCCATGTGCGTGTGAGCTACATGGCGGGCATCAGCGTACATATAATCATCGGCCAAGCAAACCGTTTGATCATCGAAAATTTGTGGTTTTGTCCCTTGCTGGATATTTGTGAAATGCGATAATTATGAAGCGCATTTTGGCTTGGCTGTATAGACTGGTTTGGTAATTAATAACGTACATTGGTGTCTGTGGGTGGTTGTGACTTCCTTCATTTTTAGTTATCACCGAGATAAAGAAGATAAGCATTTGAGTTCAATTCATTTTGGACTGCCAGCGTTAAGTACGCAGTTCATCTGGCGATTCCCTCTTATGTATAATTCTCACTCGAACACGACGAGTGCACGGACCGGTTGTGCGACCGATGCTGACATTAATGAATATGGCGACCCAAAGCTGAAGCATATTTCCATCCAAGCTTTTATTCATTTACGTCGCCGCAATTTCATTATCGGACGCGTCTAGTAGCGTGGTTCAGTGGGTGTTCATATGCAAGTAACCATTCCCGTTCCAGCGCCTTGGTGTCGGAAATTGGCCCACAGCAAATAACGGAATGGCTATTTTGCGAACAAGCGGGTGTAAAAATTACAAGAAATATCGCGCATATGAGCTTGAATCCAGGCTTTCCGATCGGCGTTGCGTGGCCACATATCACTGACCACTTTGTAGGACTGATTAATTGCTTCAGCGTCCAATCAGCAATTGGTTTTATCGCCTTGTCTTCCGTCCTCTCTATCGCCACTTTTGTGATTTGAGGGTCTCTGTGAGTTCCAGGCATTCCGGATGTTTTGAATCTTCATGCCTTCTGAATGTAAGTGAAGTAAGCGCGCTTATCAGAAATGAAAGTGTATATTCTCCCAACGTCTGGTGGAATACACACAAAAAAATAGTCATCGTACTACAGCTTCCGATCCGTTGTAAACTTATAGGTGACCAGACGCAGCACCAAAGTTGGCAGACGTGTCACCGGATGCCTTCCGTGGGTTGACGAGTTCACTTTTTCACTAAGGCATTTAAATCAAATTGTCTTGAAATCAATTTGATTAATACTACATTAGGAATCTCACATCGCCAAGTGACCATCATGATTTTGCGAACCTTCCGAATTCTAAAGTATATTTTCAACAAAACGATAACTACTATCAAAACCATCACACTACTTTAATTTTGCATGATTTGTTAGGGTCTTTCATCGTTTCATGATCAGAACAGGACTAGAACAATACCAGTTCCAGTTGAACAAACAGCGGTGGAGCAGGCGCGCTGATGAATAATTTCGGAGCTTCTAAATGTGTGGTTTAGTTAACCCCAGATATTGTAGCTACAATGGAAGGAGCAGGCGCGCTGATGAATAATTTCGGAGCTTCTAAATGTGTGACCTAGTTAACCCCAGATATTGTAGCTGTCGACAATGGAAGGTGAACGTTCCGGCAGATAATAGGAGTGTGCCTATGTGGATATCGCTTGCACCATGTTGTTGAAGTCCATTATACCGAACGAATGGGGAGCCTGAGGCAGCAGCCGGAGGATTTTTTTTGCTTACTTGCCCTGTTGTATTAAGCGGAAGAGGCAACCGGGTTGATGACAATAATCGCGGCTGATGTGACATGGGATCACTTATAAGCGCACGGTTCCTTCACCGCATATCATTACGTATAAACTATCTACTAAGCAATTGCAAACGATCTGACAGCAAAGTAACCGTGCTGTTTTCAAAAGCAGATCATTCTCAAGAGCCTTGTTGAATTTTTATGGCTAATCAGCGACTATCTCGCAAGTAATTTGAGCGAGAATACTGACACTAAGCGGACAGGGACGTCTTTTGGAGTCCTTTTTCGAGTTGGTCTCATTGAGAATGGTCGTGGATGAGATATCGTCCAAGATAAATGTCTTAACCATAGTCACTAGGATGGTCGTGGTTCTAATTAAACACACCGTTAGATACTCGGGGTTCAATCGCGTTCATTTTTCGATGAGGCACATATTGGATTTCCAAAAATCTCTCATACTTGGCATTGATTACTTGGCTTTCCGAAGGTCTCTTGTTGCATAAGCATCGAAAGAATTTCCCAAAACTCTTTGTTTCCTACACCTTTTGAGCCCATATATCTTGATAACCCATGTGGGTTCCCTTTTATGCCAGGATGCCGATTGTTCTTTGAGTGTTATTTGATCCTTCCATTTTACGAGTGCGTTTGATCCGGGTTTACACAGTTGCTAGAGAATGAATGCCACTTATAGCTTACTTATAGCTTAAATTTATGTGATTTGTCGGTTTTGTTAGTTAATTTGTGTAAAGGAGCTCCATACGGCGAAGCGACTTCGGTTGTTTGGAAGTTTCTCTCGCCCGTATTCATCAAAAAACTTCCACGTGCGTATGGCGTTGTCCCTGCAATTCCACCACCTCACTACCACCCGAATTAGCTGTGCCAGTGCTAGGTCTAAGTACATGTGTAACCATGTTGCCGGCAGCCACACTAATATATTGTATCGTATCTCATCAAACAAGGCGCTCGGGACACCGTAAAATCCATCTGTGAAAGAATCAGACCCACGTTCCTCGGAACAGTAAGCATAGCAAACGAATGGGCAGCCTGCTTCGCAAATATTCTCCAAGATGTTGCAAACATGCAGCTGTTAAACCATTCACTGAGAAGCTATTAACCTCGGTGTCTTGTAACAACACCGGCTCCAGTAGAACAAGCAGCCTCAGCGACTTTCGTATCACCAGGGTCGCACATGCACAAGCGAGTGCAGCGAGAGAACAGTGCGAGAGAGCAGTTCAGGAAACGTGGTGGGATCTCAAATCCGCATTTCGGAATAAGACAGAAAGCGAGTTCACTAGACAGCCATACTGTGCAGTACGCTTTAGAACGCAATCATTATTGATTGACAGACGAAATGAAAATAGTTTCGGAGCTTGTAAGTCTGTGGCGACTCAGTTGATCGCGGATAATGCAGCTGACGGCAGTAGGAGGCGAACGGATCCCTCAGATATTAGGCAAACGTGGATGTCGCGAGCATCAGGGTAAGGAAATCGAGTATACCGGATTTAGGGATGAGAAGGAAGGGAGAAAGGCCTCAGCAGTAGCCTGCTTTTGCTTACACGCTCTGCGGTATACAGCAGCTCGGAAAACCGGGTTAGTGAAACTACTCGTGGCCATTGTGACATGAGATCAGTCGTAAACGTGTAGTCCCTGGTTAAAAGCGGGCTGCGATATCACCAGGGTAAAGAGATAAGTCTTTCACCGCAGCTACAAACTACTAACAGGAAAATACCCAGCCCAATTTGAAAAGCACAACCTTCTTAAGAGTCTTGTTCCACTTACATTGCTGTTCATTGAATGTCACGCTATAAGTTTGACGTTAGGCGGACAAGGACAATTTTTGATGTTGTTTCGTTTCATCGCAATAGGTCGTAGATGATATAGCTTCCCAGAACACGGGTGTATTATGTGATCAATATGGTGATCATAGTCCACAATTAGACACACATTTGCTTGAGGAGGGTTCAATAATGATCACTTGGGCAATGAACCACCATCGTTTGCCGAAGAGAGTGCCCTTTTCCATGCCCAAATTAGAGTGACGTAAACAGAGAGGTGGCCAGTTAATGACCTGGCGGAGGAGTATGAAGGAGATCACAAAATGATTGGGTGCTGCCGGTGCTACTCGATTTTTACGATGAGGACCGCGTGCTTTTCACTGTGTCTGGTTAGAGGCACTACGAGCTATGGATGCAAAGCGGTATCAGTTGCGCTGTTGTTGTCAGTTTCTATGCAGATCGCCTGAGTGAATAATTGGAGGTGTACGCACCTCGGAATAATTCAGGTAAGCTATTACAAAATCCCCTTTTCGTACAACCTTTTCTTCACCATAAGGCTGTCAAATAAATCATGGTTGTACGGCAGAAAAGCATCGGTGTTGAAAACTTTTGTCACGCTGCCGATGATGATGATGATGATAAACATTTTGCTTCATTTGGGAACGTTAACGTGGCAGTTTCAATTCATAAACCGACCGACGATATCGCAAGAAGGAACAGTGCAGTAGGAGAGCTGCGCGCAATCGAGTAAGAACCAAGAAGCAACCCACTTCATCCTTCCCGAAGCAAAACTGAGGTTTTACGGTTCCTTGAGAAAACACGTCACGTCGCGTTTTCAATTTGGGTGAACTGCTAGCTTACCACGTCATTTTTAACCGCTCGTGACCGAATGGTTCAGCCTTCAGCTAATTGTCGCGAGACATCTGGTTCTTGTCTCTCCGGAGAAGCAAGAAATGCGCACTACAGATAAATCGTATGATAAACCTGGACTTTCCGGCAGAGCATTGCCCAAGCTAAGGGATAAAACCTGGATTGCAAAGCCCGGAAAATGTCACGAGTCAGCCTCAGTTTGCCGGTGATTAATTTCAGCTCTTTACCGCCCAAATATCTTATTTGTTAGCTGACAGGCTTCACGCAGTTAACTAACACATATTTTGGGCAGTGATAACGCATCCGAATGCTGCTTGGAGAGCTAATACCCCACCAAGTGTGGGTGATGCTAAGCACTCTGCTTGCCTTGCATAGCCTCATTACCCTACTATATGTCAATTCATCTTCAATTCATCAGTCATTTGTATTTTAATTCAGGCAGACGTTTATCACGTGTATCAAGTCGTGCGTGCGAACGAAGTTCCAGTGGAGAATATAATTCTCTTCGCCTATGAAGATATCGCACACAATCCCAATTAATTGTCTAATACATTTTTGTCATCTGACAGCAACTAGACTGCTAAAACGGCCTTTATGGTTTGGCTTTAAAAATTTCCATTTTCGACCCGTATTTCTGATGGATATAATGCAAAGATGGAGTGTCCTTGCAGGAACATATGGGGTTTGGTGCATTACAATCGGTGTACCATAAGTTAAATTTTCTTCTATGCATTTCCATGACTTTAACTGCCGCAGAACCTAATGAAATAAGAACAATCGACATCAAATGAGACTGCAGCCATCATGATATGTCCTCGTCGTCAGTAGTCCAATATTACCATCGATATCAAGATGTTGTTTGACCGCATCAGCCGGCTGACGATTTGAAGCAAACAATGAGTTTACAGTCTAGTAGTCATAACATTTTATAATTTTATACTTTTATTGTAATTTTTATTGCTAGGACAAGTATGAGACCCTCTGAAGAGGTGAAAACTTTATTCATGCTCGGAGGTTGTACTGATCGCAGGTCGTTTGTTGACCAATCGGAATACGCTCAAGAGCATGGCTTGAGGATATTTCTGGAATCAACCAGTGATGGTCCAATTTCATATCAACGACAAGTCAAAACACTAAACAAATCTCATCAACAACGTGCGTTTTCTTCAAAGTGTCCTAGAAAATGTGAATTCCGTCGTTGGGCGGTACCACAAAATGAATGGTCAAGGATACATGTGGATTTTCCCAGTCCCGGTAACACAATTTTCTCACGATCGTGTACGCTTATAGCAAGTGGCCGGAGATTTTTTCATGAGGACAACGGGGACATGGTAACTGTTAACAAGTTGGGAGTAACCCTAGCCGTTTGGGCTATTCGGATAAGCTCGATACCTGGAAATGGGACTCAGTCCACTTCGTCGCAACTTACGAACTTATGTCTTGCTGAGCAGTTGGACACGGTAGAAGGCAACCCTATCACCAACAATCAAACGCCACGTGAATTGCCTGAAGGGAAATCCGCCTGCAAATACACCACCGCACTAAACGAGGCACCTTTGCATTTCTGAGGCCTCTACGTGAGAGGTGGTGTAGAATTTGAAGGCATCCGCTGGCTATTTCGCCGCCTCATGTAGTGATTCTGGTTGCTTGAAAACCTAAATTGGAAAGAAAACGTTTGAGCTACGACTGCGACAAATTCCCTGTGTGTATGCTTCAAGAAGTTCAGAGAATACAATCTCTCTAGTTTTTATAAGCCAGACACACATCACTTACATTCAAAGAGAATGGAGATTCGAAAAAATTGGCGCAATGATGTTCAAAACAATGAAAATGATTTCAGAATGCTCGAAAACTACAAGAAGTGAAATAAGGTGGACGACAGAACAGTCAGAAAAGCAAGTTGCTGATTGGATGCCGAAGCAACCAGTAAGTCCAGGAAGGCATTAGCTGAATTGTGGCCACGCCCTGCCGAGCCGAATAGCTGGATTCAAAGTCAATAATACGTTTCCTAATACTGCGATGTTACTTATATTTTTTGCACCCAAATAGTCATTCTGGATTTGCTCTGAGCTCACTTTCGAAACTAAGGCGCTGGAGCGTGGACAGTTCCTGAAATGTGAACCCCCATAAACCACGCTACTGAACGCGATCAATAATGGAGTTCCGGCGAGGTCAATGGATAGAAGTTCGGATGGAATTTCGCTTCCGATTTGAGCCGCCATAAACGTTGACGTCGTAATCGGTCGCCAAACGGATGCTGACGCTGCTGATCTGGTAAGAACTTTACGATTGAGGTCATTGCCTACTGATTTGCTTACTAAACACCAGCAGTCCAGAGTGAAGTGGAACTCAGGTGTCTTTTCGACCCTCTCGCTTTCAACTACATCTCAGGGTAGTTGTAGCCACCTTCTGAAACCAATGTACAGATTTGCACAAGCTGACACCTTTCACTCGTCCAACGGATGCGTCCGAATTCACAACGCTTCAACAGTGCTAGAATTTTTGGTTCTCAGATGACGTAATTTAGGGTCTCATCTGTTCTTCGGGTCATTTAACCGATGGTCTGTGGTATATTTCCTGTATTTTGCCATAATATCCGGTCAAAAATTCATTGATTATGCTGGTTTTCTTGTGGAGATCCAGTCTCCCAGTCGTTGCCAGCGAATGTGGACGAGTGAGCCTGTAGTCGTACGACTCACAATGTTGAGCATCGGGTACAATCGCTGCCCGTTGACATTCGCATCAGTTACGCACTGAAGTGATAAACATATTAGGAACGTAAGATGGATCACGTAGTCCTACTGAGTAGATATTGCAGTGACGAAATTTATTTTACTAACATTAATTCCCGTTTACGATTAGATATCTTACAAGTGCCCGAAATTAACTTGCCATCGGAATTCGGAAGCTCGGATCATCGTACATCAGTTCATACTCAATGGCATGGTGTATCGAATCACGCCGAAGCTTTAGACTTGTGAAGGCTTCAAAGGAAGTTACTTGTGCTCACTTTAATATTATGGATGCGAAGAAGTTTGAAATTTTCTATTAAATGGACGGTTGCATTTTATCAGACAAAGACCTCCACTAGATCGGCCTAGTTTTCGCGTCTTAAAGCGCCTGATGAAACACCAGACAAAGGTAGGGCCAAGCATCGCTGATCAGCGGGGAAATTAGCTCCCAGTTGGACTAGATATAGTGTCAATCAGTCCTCAAATCACATGGTCACGTGTGGATGGGCTCATCAAGACATGCTCCTGTATTCGATTTTGGGGAAGTATTTGTTGGAAAAACACTATGCTGCAACGTGGCAACAGCGTAGCCTTAGAGTGGTATGAGCAAACTACTCCGCTGCGCACCGCGTGACGTCTTCCTCTGTCCCCTCTCACGCATACATTGTACCGAGGATGACAGATTTATGTGACGTAATGAAATTCGGTGATGACGTGAATAACAAACCTCTGTGACTATGGACAAATTTTACTTAGTGACATGACTTATTCCAAACAAAGCACACATTTATGCTATGAGAAAAAAGCCATGTAAAGGTCATTTTTGCTTCATTGCGTCACTCAAGATTGAAAAGATTATGCTCCAACCATATACTAAATCCAACAACAATTGATTTGATTTCTTCCTCTTAAGGTTCCTTCGAATCTTCGTTCAGAAGCAGTTATCTCATAAAAGTAACCGGTGTGAACTGTTATTTGTGAATCCCCAAATGAGTCTACGGGTGGGAGACAGAGGCTTCTATGCGAAGTTGGACAGTGCGAAGGCGACTTCGAGGAGACTGCACGCGTAAGTTTGAATCTCCTTCCAGGATACAACAAATAACCCTCACCTTTGTGAGTTTTATTTAAACTAATACAAGGATAGGACTCTTTGAATACCCTGAAAGAAATGACCGGTAATCCGTCTCACTGGCGCCCCACTTGTCATTTTCCATCCAGATAGTCTGAAAGAATGTCTTGGAGTTTAAACCATCGCAAACTGGCTGTCTTATGCTGGAACTGAATACATTTATCCTTGTGATTAATTGTGAAGTAGCAACTGGATACACCTCCAGGCAGTTAAGCAGAGAGCGCTGAATAACATGGTTTCTCAATTGATTTCCAGGAGTCAACCTTGCAAGTTTTCGAAATTCAGACAGTTTGGCTCTTCGGCATGTAGATCTTTCGTCTACGAATTACCGCCTTAGGATGGAATTACAGATTAAGTTGCCATGCAGAATGGTACTACGTGTTTCTCCTCTTCGCACTGTGCACATGTTCATTAGTATTGTTTATGAATAGAGAGTCCAAACCCCATTAAACTCTGAAATAGCACGCCCACCACAACACAACCATCGTCATTGAATTTCATCAAGTTGTCATCATCTGCGACAGCATGACATCAATGTTGAACATTGATACTTCGATGAAGTGGAGACATGATTGATTTGAACGCCTTATTGTGAAGGAAATAAAGAATTAGTACACTGAATGAACTTGGAGCTGGCTCACTTGAATCCTTCTCAGGTATCTACGCATTCAAGCATTTATGCAGTTAATTGCGACTGCAACTGCAGCGATTGCGAGCCATATCCTAAAGAATCAAAAACATTTGAAATCCTACGACCGATTTGAGAAGATTACGATCATCCGAATGAACACAGTCACTTGTTAAAATCATTTGCAGGATCTTTTTAATGCGGTATTGCTTGAAAACTTGTGTGCATTGAACACAGTCACTTGTTAAAATCATTTGCAGGATCTTTTTAATGCGGTATTGCTTGAAAATTTGTGTGTGCATTTGGGGCTAAATCGAGATTATCGCTCTCTCAGATGATCAGTTCATTGTGATGTTCATTTATTTCACTCAGTCCATCTTTCTTGAAGACACCCAAAGATTCAACGAGAAAGCCTCATCTCTGGACTTGTCATTCAATGGATATGATCACTTGGGTAATGTACTGAACCAATATTTTATCCAAATCACTGGACTCAGTGTGAGTGAATGAAAGCTGGGATGGAAATAAGCTTCCGATTTGGGTAGCCGGAATTCTTGAAGCCAAAATCGATTGCGAAACTGGTCGATGCTCTCGCCGTCATGCAGTGAGAATTATACCGTCAAGAGGTTTGCCTGCACTTTTGGTCCGGAGCGAAGTGGGACTTTGGTGCTTTTCTCGACGCGCTCGCTTTGAACCAACATACAGATTCGTGAAAGCTAAGAATCGGAGCTCATCCCACTGACTTTCTGAGTGCCCAAGGTCAAAACAAAGCAAAACCTCCGAAGTAGAATTTTCGGTAGCCATTCTACAACATCAGTTGGGGGGCGATTACAACGGTTGCATACGAAAAATCACCCAGAAAAGACCAACTTGTAAATTTTCGAGGATCAAGCGAGTTCCTTGGTTGGTAATATGTATACCGATGCCGCTTAAAATGAGTTTTCCGAAAAATGCGCAAACCGACACGTTAACGTCCAATATGAGTCCGGGTGTAAATCCCGCACTAATATGAGACAATAGGCAGGTCACAGAAAGGATTACTTCACCGGAT